GAAGAAGAAATATTTTTAAATATATTTTTTAAATGTTGCGATTCTATTTTTTTCGAGACTGACAACCAGACGATATAAGACCAAAATCGAGTTTTTTTTAAATAAAATTGATTTCATTATTTAATTTATTTTTATTCATCAATTGATATGACATAAGGAATATAGTTATTAGTTATAAGAAGAAATATTTTTAAATGTTGCCAATCTATTCTTCTTGAGAGGAACAACCGGACGATATAATAAACAATCATTTTTTTTATTAATAAAGTTGATTTGATTATTTGCATTGTTGTTATGCAACCTCAACTGGTCGATTTGCTCTTCTATGACTTTACGATGTTACGAAACAGGCAGGCTTAAACCCGACTGTATAAATTAGTTTTAGTCCACGAGCGACATAATCACTATCTCTTAGAATATTATATTATCCAGTTCAGATCCAACACTAATCAAAGCAAACTTAACACGTTAACCGCCGCGTAGGTACCGGTGACCTACGTTAGCGGAGGATTTGCCTTCAGCAGTTTTCTGTCGGCAGTCAAAGGCTTAAAAAAAAGGTTAGATTACGATGGCCTTAAACGTTTCCCTATGTGCAAAGTTTATATATGTACGAACCAATAAATAAATAAACAATCAATAAGGTAAACGGCCCAGTAACCGTGAAGTTATGAACTTCCCTGACTTTGCATGCGCGCTAGGCTGAAACAAGTAGACTTATGAAAATAAATTTTATATGAATAGTTAGATAATTTAGTATACTTTTAGTATATTATAATTCTATTAAACTTATGGAAATGTTAATTAACAATAAAACAAAAAAAATACAAAAAGGGCCAACTGTACCAGTATCCGGTAGAATTGTACTAGTTAACGTTTTATTGTCCCGAAATCCGGCAATTTTAAGTGCAAATTTGAACTCTATTGCTTTACGTTAAAGTTCACAGAAATAAAATATTTTTAAATAAAAATAGTAGTGAAAACAATCAAGGTCTGTATTTAACAAAAAAAGGCATGAATTGTTTTAATTTTTTTAATTAAAAAATTACATAAATTATTGGTTTACACTAGTAACATATTTTAATGGCATCTTCAGTAACCTTTGGTAAAAAAACATCACTAACTTAAATTTTTACATTTTAAAATAGAATTAATGGCTTCCTCGAGGTGTGCCATAATAAAATAGTCTTCTACTTCTTTATACCACGATCTTAAACTGCTTTCTTGAACTAAATCACGGGTTTGCATTAGATTTTGGGCTACTCGCTGGCCTACTTCAGGGTGTCGCTTTATAATAAGGCTTCAAACCAGTGACGACCTGGTCTTCCATTTTTAAAAGGGGTTTTCGCTTCAATTTTTTATAAAATATGCTATCTAACAACTACATTTAGTTACAGGATATCCACTATGTCTGTTATCCATCTACTCAAATGATCTTCTTCTTCTTTTAATATAAAAACTGCGTTTAAAAAACCGACTTCAAAAAACCAAAAACTAATAACAAACAAAAAGTCAAAACTAAAAAGCAAAAAATAACGATTATTAGTATTGATAGGTTACCCACCCACTGATAGGTAAGAAGTCGGTGCCATAAGTTCCATACAAAATTATTGATTAAAACCTTAATAGGTACCTAATTCACAATTTTTTGGACATTAAGTTATATCATTATGATATGAGTTTGGAATATTCAATAGAATAGCGGCTGCGTATTTTGTCGTCCAACGTTGACCGTGGAAGCTGAAATTGAGGCTCCTTTTCTAACTGCGTCCATGGCCTTTAATATGGCCTTTTGTTTCTTAGTCATGGCTACCTGAAAGAAAATTAACACGTTTTTTTGCAGAAATTAGCAAAATAGTAAAAATACGAACTTTCATACATATTTATTAAAAAATGTGTGGTAATTCAATTATTTAAAAATCAGGAGCACCGACCTTTTTCTCGCTTTCCTCAATTTTAGCTGATGCCAAGCAGTAGCCATTTCCTGTAACTAAAGCGCCGATGTTGCATGGTATTAAAAATAAAGCAATAAAACCCTGACAGACCAGGTTGTCACTGGTTTTTAAGTAATCATACAGCAGCACACAGAAGCAAGCCGACAATTGGCCCAAAATTAAACACAAACCCATCCGTTAGTTCAAGAAATCCGGAGTACTTTATTATGAGACAACCCAAGCAAGCAAGCAGCTCGAAGCTTTTTACGGACACCAGAAGTCCAACTTGGAAAGGTACCTATAGATCCCTCGAAAAATTATTTAAGGTTTAGAGGCAGATAAATACGCAAATTAATTTATCTTTAGTCAGTTTCAGTTATGGCTCTACGGCTTTGAGACAATTTTTAGTTCCTATCAATGATTTTTTGTCACCTGGATAACTTCACAGGTCTGACTGACATCTTGCACCCAAATCTGAAGACACGTAAGTTTAGTGACTTATGAATGAAGTAAAAGTCATACAAGAAATATGGAAAAGTACTGGCCTATGAAAATGTCGACAGGTGGAGTTCCAAATAATGAGACATATTTATCTAACATATCAACGATGACAAAACGGTACGGTACTGAAAATTACACACAAGTTACCATTTGTCAAGACTCGCTGCAAAGCATAATTAATTAATTACAATATTCAAGTAAATGAAATAACTAGAGCTTTTTCGCCCTTGCTACAATTTCAACTACTGTCAAGGAGTACTATAAAACGGTGAACTTTGCATGACAAAATACAGGGCCACTGTTCTGTTGAACTCAAAAACCATGTTTAAATAATTGAATTACCATTGCCATTGTCTTCTGAAACAATTTTTTTTAATTTTGCCCAGTTGCCAATATTCCTATTAATATACACTGCGCTCTATAAATAAAAAAACTGGTTTTAGAGCAGCAGAGCTGTAACGCAAACTATACAAAATTAGGAAATCATTCAGAAAAAAGCAACCAAATGCACGTGGTCCCGTAACAAAACAAATAAGATAGGCATTTTATTTGTTACTGCTACTAATTACATTCTATCGAGTTATCGGAAAACAATACTTATCTTAAGGCATTAAGGACCATGACGGATTTAAATGCAACTGTTAATGCATGTACTAGTATCCGGCAGAAAATATTTAATATAAACTAAAATTTCAAAGGAATATGAGACCTATTTCAAAGCAATAAGGATACAATACCGGGTTTCGGTGCAACGTATGTTACCGGGTTGCTAGTGTACCAGTAACCGGTAAAAAAATATACGAATTTACCGGGCACTAGGTCTAGTAGGGGTTTGTGAGTACCAATAAATGTAACATGCAAAAACTTTTACGTTTCAATGAGATTTACCTTAATTTATAGGTTAAATCGTTAAATAATACACAAAACTTTTTATAAACATTAACACTCTTACCTTAATTTTATCCGTCGAAGTATGGCTAGATGATTTCTGCAACGGGGTGGTCTCGTAGTTCACTGACAGAACTTTGAACTTACAGACAATTTTGTTATAACGTATTTTTAAGTTTGCACAGTTTTGACGCCATTAAACTTTTTGGTGAACGTTGCTATTAAAATTGTTTAAAATAGTACCAAGAATAAATTGGCATTTACAAACTCTAATTTGATTTTGGTTGAAAGACGTAAAAAATTAAAAACTGACTAGTTAACGGGAACTGGGACACTAACGGGAATACGTACTTCTACCTTAGTCACAAGAATGGGTACATACCATAGTTACACGTACAATTTCCTCAACAAAACTGTTAGCATTCATTTTAATTACCTCTATTTAAAGAAGTAACATTATCTTTATCAAGCATTGATTACAATAATTATAGTAATTATCAACAGTAATATTATTGATGTGTCGAAATTTGATAACCAATTAGGTAACGAAATATCAATTGATAACAATAAGTAATTTTATAGTTGCCACTGTTAGTTGTTTAATACTAGTTTAACTATAGGAGTTTTAAAATACATAATAATAATTAAAGTAAGATTAAATATCGAAAAGGAGCAAAATTTTCTTTTAAATTTCTCTTTATCTCATATATTTATTTAAAAATATAAAAAATAGTAGCCGACCAGTAGCGGGAGCATGGTCCAAGCTACCGGTGGTTAGGGCTCCAGAGACCGAAACCTCTTCACGATACGTGCCGTTTCTAGGAGAACTGCCTTCTGTATCAGGCCCTTGATACATCCACCTAACGCCAGCCTCCTGAGATGGATGTCGAGGTTTTTAAGGATATTAAACAAAATTTGTAATACTAAATACGGAAAAGGAACAAAAGTTCCTTTTAAATCTTTCTTTAGATCGAATCTAATAAAAATTCTAATAAACTTATTGAATCTAATAAACTTTCTAGCAAACATAGCTCCAGATCGTTGGGTTATTAAGGTTTCGGTTTATTTATTTATTTTATACTTTATTGCACACACAGAGAAATTAGTTTACCTTGTTTATAATAATAGCTAAGAAATAATACCTATATGTTCCATTATTAATTATTTTATTACTAGAAATCAAATGAGACCGTACGCATTTTCCGATAATACATTATTTATACAATCAGAACATCAAAAAACTAGTAAAGGAATCTTAATTAATTGATGATTGCACAATACTATCCCGTTAATTAGTCCATATAATAATAACCCTTTAAGTAGAGTAGGTCTTGAATCATAACAACCTGCTTATTTGTTCCAGTTGTGACGTCACAAAGTACATACATAGCCCAGGTGTTACTTATGCAAGCTTTCATAATCTTTCAGTTGCAAAAGCTCGTTAATTTAACATGATCAAGTAATTAAGATAATGTAATGTTGATGCCAATTAAAAAAGTCAAAAAGTATATTTTGTAATCATTGGACTGATATTATTATTTAATTTTTCCTAAATAAAGGTTTTAAAAAAGGAAAAACAGAGCCTTACATAGAATTATCTTTAAAAAACTCAACTTCTGAATTGTCGGATACACTTCATATACAAAACATGAAAAAAAAATGTAATGAAAAATATCTCACCCTTAAAAAATCAACAAATCACAAAAAGAGGCGCGCGCGCAGTGATACGGCGCGACGAGAACTGCGCCGGCACACGGTACGTATGAGAACACAGAACACTCGCACTCGAAGTCCTTTGCGCACACTAAGCATTCACGCAAAACTACTCGAGGGCTTTATACCGCATACGTTTTGGCACAAGCAGTACTTTAACACGTGGGGCTTACAGTTGCAGCCAAAAATAATTACCACGTCAATCCAATACATTGTAATACTTACCACAACGAAAGTGATTTCCACGTTTATCAAAGTAATTGCTATTTTCTCTCTTTTTGTTTCTTACTTGTGTATGTATACTTTGACCTTTGTCTATGCAAAAATTGCATTAACCTTTCAAATAATTTACCTCGGTTATAAATATTCATCGATTGTGTAATTTACTTATGATTTAAGGAAAAATTCTGTTATAATATTTGAATATATTATTATATTAACGATTTTATCCACTCGGTCACTTATACAGGATGCAGTAAATATCAATTTTAATCAAAAAATCACTATCCGATACAGATATGTAATGTCAAAATACTGTTTCGTAATTTCTATAAGTTTACACATTTTTTTAAGAACGAATTCACAAGAAAATCTTTTTGGTTTTTTTTTTATGGCCTAAGCCGGTAAACAAGCAGGATCGCCTGATGGTAAGCAATCGGCGTCGCCCATGGACACCTGGAACACCAGAGGCGTTACAAGTGCATTACCGCGGCCTTTTGGGGATTAGGAGTTTGAGGATCGTTGGGGATTCAGAAATTGGGGAGATTGGGGAAGGGGGTAATTGGGTCTCCGGTAACCTCACTCACACGACGAAACACAACGCAAGCGTTGCTTCACGTCGGTTTTCTGTGAGGCCGTGGTATCACTCTGGTCGAGCCGGCCCATTCGTGCCGAAGCATGGTTCTCCCACACTTTTGTAGGAAAATACTTTAGCGACAAATATGCGTACGGCAGTTTTGTACAATTAGCCGGGTAAATTTAAAACAGTACTAAAAAAGGTTCCCAACAGCTAAAAGCCATTGGGCATTTCAAACTTCAAGTACAACATCCAGCATATTGACTCTAACCAAATAGAATCTCACACATCTAATTTGCTGCATCAAGTAATCTGTCATTAGTAGTTAAATACACTGTTTATTATTAGCCAAAAAATATTTGTTTCATAACGCTAACCATGAACTATAATACAAGTAATGGCGATTTGAATGTCACTGGAATCACGTCGCTATCATTTTGACTCACCAAACTAGTCACATTTCAATGAATCCGGGTTTATATTTAGAACACATAAATAATTGCATCTACACTGTCAAGTGCTACTGATATTTTTTTTTTAACTCAGTTTTTAAAAAAAATCTCAGTAGTAGCACAGAGCCTGGAATTGTCCCTGGTAGGTATACGGCATTAGGCTTATATTACATAGGACTCATAACATAAAAGTGAAAAGTGGGTGTTTTTTTGTACATTGTACACTGACATTAAGTGTCGTAATGTGCACCTCTACCTACCCCTTTTTTATTTATTTATTAGGATAACCAACAGTTATTTACACTCACACATTCATTACATCATTACAAATAATACTTTGGTAAGTGTAACAACTACTTACTGGCTAACACAGCATGCACATAAAACGGTTAGAATATGTTACATAAAAAACTCCTTCGGGGATAAAAGGCATGACGGTATTGTGTTATGAATCAAAATAATTGCAGTATCCAAAAACCAAAATGAGAATTTTAATAAATCATGAAAATAATGCGTTGTTTATTAAAATGTAACTCAAATATCAATTACTATTTTGATAATAATGTAAACTTCTCTCTAAATGCATTATTTATATTTATTTCTATTTTATGTTTTATATGCTACGTCACGCTAAGTAACTTTTAAGAAAGAGATGGTATTTTTTTAAGGGGGGAAATCATCGAATGACTGCTCCCGGCTGGGTGAGGCGGGAGGGAGTGTCAAACTCTTACTGACTAAAAACCACCCCGTTCCTTCTCCTGCACGTCGAGCCGAAGCCCCGGTAACCCGTTACGTTCTCCGCGACAAAGAGATGGTATAGGAGTGGTGAATGAAAGCAGCCATAAGTGCGTTTTCTTTTGTTCTTAAGAATGTGAGGTTGTACCTCATTTCTACCATTATTCATCATATCTACCATCACTACCATTATTCTCCATGGAAAATTTTAATGACTACTTAATTGAATACTTCGTTAATAATGACTTTAACAATAAACACTAGAAAGATTACATTATTTAGCTGTCTTTTCGTTTTGCATAACTGTGCCTTTAGCCAAACGCCACTTTAGCGCTTGTCTACAGAGAGAGTAGAAAACTAAACATGGGGATGACACTGATCAAGAATCAAATTATATGGGATTGACGTAAATTTTGACATTATCAAAATTTACGTCAATCCCATATAATTTGATTTTCTATTCTACATGTAGACAAGCGCTAAATGGCATTTGGCTACAACTGCTGCTTATTTATGTGTATTTTAATAAATAAATATATTTACTTCTCAAAGGAGATATTATCAATATATTTCTTTACATTATTAGTTAATAATAATAACGCAAGTTTCATAATAAGCTCTTCAATTATCAAATATCAACAATAATAATTCAGAAATCGGGAATCCCCACCAAAACATATTGGAAAAGCAAATAATAGACACGTTTATAAAAAGAAAAACAATAGTAAAACAACAATATTGTTGATTCCATTATATAGAAATGACCTCGACCCCGGTACATAATACCAGCATATGTACTCAAATCTCTTCATTATTTCAATGAAAGAAAAGAAAGAAAGAAAGAAAGAAAAATAATTTATTCGCCACCGACATGGACCACCGAATAACACACAAAATAATAACAAAATAACAATGAAGTCATGGACCTCTATTAGTCATGAATCATGATCTAAACTTAGATCTAACAAAAACTTCCTGCAATAAAGATTGTATCTAAATAAATAAGCTTTAATTTTAATTAAGAATCACCTAAAATACTTGGATATCTGAAAATTTTAGAATAATAGGTTCCATTATTTATATTTGACTTATAGACAACACATGCGGTTTTCCGCTAGAAAAAGATCCAACCCAACTTTTTTAATTAAAAATGTATCTACTTAAATAAGTCTCTAATCAATAAAACACCTTAAAACGAGCAATTTCGGAAACTAGGTATCTACATATGAATTCAATTGTATAATACTTTCAGTAGAATTATGCTTGCTGGTACCAAAAGTCGTTCCGCGTACTCATAGTAATGGGAAAACATTAACCATGCATTGTTTACTCAAATGTGCTAATATTAGTTTCCGTGTGAAGAGAAATGCACCATCCATGCACAAAGATTAACAAACAAACGTTACGACACGAAGCATAGACCCACTTCATTTAAACGACCTGAAACAATATGAATCAGTCACACGTCTAGCCTGAAATCGAGACAATATTATAACTTGTATAACAATCGTTCATAAAAGAATTGCAACCACTTTCAAAATAAATTCCCAAGACGAAAAAATTGCATACAGCAAAAGGTTAAGAAGCCAATCAAATAGTTGCAATTAGCCAATAAAAATAAATTAAAATATTTAGTTCAGTATTTTGGCTTCTGAAAAATCTATGTAATTTAAGCTTACTGACATACATATGTAAGTGGAAAACAGGTGCAACCTTTTCAAATCAAGAATCTTGATTAGGTCTGGAGATAAGTTTAAATGTAACGAGTTACCTGTTCAGATAGCTTTCAGCAGGATTCTTATTAAATACATAGAACTGCATACATTACATACTTACGAAGTGTCAATCGAAAAAATAAAATAATTACATATTTTTTTCGATTTAACAGTCAATCCTACTAATATCATAAATGTGACAGTTTGTGTGTGTGTTTGTTATACAACACGTCAAAACAACTGAAGGGAACGAGATAAAATCTGGAATAACACATAGCGTACTTTTAATCCCACTGGAACGCTTGCAAATTCGCGGGTAGACGCTAGTCAGGACATATGTCGTCATTGTATCTCCTAAGATTCCTAACTTTGTTAATAATGCATTTCTTTCTTTGTTTTTCTAGACTGCTCTGATCTGAAGCTATTCTTTTCTTTACCTCAAGAAAGAGACAGGTGTGAAATCATGTATGTTTTAATTATTGATACCACCTTAAAAAAATATAATCCTATAAGCTCCATACAATTGAATTAGCTGTTGCTTAATTACCCAACTGTTGGCACAAAAACTTAAGTTAATTGTATTTACCACTTCATCTGCTGACTTTCCAAACGACTCATCGCTTTATCAACCGTGTTTAATTACCTTTTCATTAATTAAAACGTTCAATTATAATTTTAGTACCTAATTATATTCATTAACCTTTGTTTATTTGGTTTAATACAATGGATAAGTCCACCTGCAACGTGTATTAACAATTTTTTATCAATTTATTCTCTGAAGCCGATTGTTTATCTCACAACTAATATGGGCAGAAAGTTTAAAATGTACCATTTAGGGATTGAATTAATTTCCTTCGTTAACGGCCTAGGTTCCTATTTTTGGTACGGGTAAAGGTTTATCGGGTTAATCACCTTTAAAATTCACTGTTGTTGCTAGAAATTCCCGAAACTTTATAATTTTCTACTTAGATACAGGAATATCGACTAAATCATTAATACTTTGATTCGACCTTCGGTAATGGTGGAGCCATCTACCTACATGCATCTAATACCATATGTATGTATCTAAAGGTGACTTATTTATGGTCTCTGTCTGCTAATCTCTCAGGAAAAAAATAAGCGTGATGCTATCATCCCAATATTCGATCGGTCAAGTGCGTAATTGAGATAACGGCAGAAGTACAACACAAGTACCCTTTCAGACTAGATATTATTTGTTTTTAGTCTAGTAAAATCTATGATACCTACCTACATAGGATTCAAACTAGATCACTTGACCCCGTCAACTGGCTGTAACCGATTCATAAGTGCCTAAATTAAATTTACATTAATGAATGTAACTTATTATATGTTACGAGTTCTATAAAGTCAAAGTCAAAGCATTTATTTTAATGACCTTTG